GTTACTGTCGAATGTACATATTTTTTGACGAGCATATAAAACATGTTCTCGGAATCACGCTTGTTACTTGTTAGTACACAGAAATGTGTCCAGCAGAAGAAAGAAAGAAAGAAATCAATAGGCTTCCAATTTAGGCCACAAATCACAATATCCCTCCCGCGTCAACTTCCACTTCCCTCTTATATTTGACCAAACAAAAAGGAAAATTAGCAATTGCCCGTTTCCTTATCATTAATGGACACTTCAACTACCATTCAGGAAAACTGTCGGCGGAGAGAGCAAGAGGGCTTCAGTGGTTTATAGCATTGTACTAGTTGAGATTTGAAGGAAATTCCTACCGCGACTAGGTACTGTGAGAGGAAGTATGAAGTAAGTACAGTTATCATGAATCGATAATGTCTTTTCGAGTTAAAAGGAGTACGGATAAGATGATCCGATGACTGCCACCTTGTGCTACTCCTTGTGTTTGTGCGTGTCTGTTTGAGTTTCTGAGTGGGGAAAGAAAAGCCAAGACACAGAAAAAGAAAAAAGAAACAAGGGAGAAAGCCCATGTGAGCAATCTTTAGAATCTATTACTAGTACTACTACAATGCTGAGCAAATAATTTAGTGGGATTTATGGGAGTTTCTTGGTTGTTCCCTGGCCAGAGTCCCCTGAGCCCTCGTGCACTAACCCTTATCTGTCGCTCTCTTTCTCCCTCTCCCTCTCTCCTATAATTCGAAACGAAGGGAAAGAAACCTATATTTAATCCATAATAAATACACCCCGCTTCAGTTTGAACTCTGTATATATTGATTCTGTTGTTGTTCTGTGTCTTCATAGGATCTTGGTTCTCTTTCCTTTCTCCTAAAGGTACTTCTTCTCCTGCTACTATCCCAATGTTTTCCTTAAAGTTTGAATTTTTATTGGTCAGTGTTTATTGCGTCATCGTGGAAATCAACTTCGTCATTGCTATGTGTATTGTACCTTTCTTGAACGAGAAGTGTTGGCCATAAGCATTGCATCTTTATTTTTTTGTAGTTGAATTATGCACTGGGAATTTGCTGCTTCATCCGGGGTCAAGTCCTTTGCGTCTCACTTTGACAATTCAATTAGCATATTCTTGCCAATTTTAATTGCTTTGGTGCTGTTACTGTATTGATTGTATATTCTATTTGATGTTGTAGGGGGCTTACTCTCAGGAGCTTGTTTTGACCGGGAGAGGGATTGGAGGAAGCATATTTATCACCAAGTCAGCTTGGTAGTAGGTGAGTTACAATCGAATTACTGAAGCAGTGTCTCGTCTGTGCATTTCTGAGCAAATTTGGGACAGTTCGTTTAGTGGTCTCAAGATTATGGTGTTAAGAAAACAGGGTCAATGAAAGTTACAAGTAGGAGTTGACTATTTGAGTGATGAGTTTTGGCAAATCGTTGATGAAGAGTCAATTGTGAGCTTTGCCACTGTAATTTTTCATGGATCACATGTTTTTTATGTATGGGGACTTTGAAGATGATATTGAGTGTTGTAGAGTTGTGAATGAAGAAGCAATTCCTGTACCTAATTCAAGTGCTAGACTAGAAAATCCTTTTCCAGCAAAGCTTTCTACTGGTTTTGATTTGTCAGTCAAGGGAGGAAAAGTGGATAATTTGGGCAGTGTTCCTAAATATGGGGATGTGGTATGTCGGGAGGAGGAAGTGAAGATAGAGATAGACAACAAGGTGGTTGGAGTGGTGGCTGAAGACCCAGTGGAGAAGGACATGGAGAAGTGTAAATCAGTAAGTGCTAAGAAGCCTCCAAAACCTCCCCGGCCTCCCAGAGGATTGTCACTGGATGCTGCTGATCAAAAGCTGATCAGAGAGTTAGCTGAACTTGCTGCTATCAAACGCGCAAAGATTGAGCGGATTAAGGCACTAAGGAAAATGAAAGCTGCAAAAGCATCACCATCTTCTTCATCCTCTAGTGGAAGCTTATTTGCCATGCTGTGTACTGTTATCTTTTGTGTTGTTATTATATGCCAAGGTAATCTTCCCTAACTTGGATCCAGGACTGACAAATTTTCAGCATAATGTCTTAATGAGTGCCTTTGTTTGACTTATGTTCCAATATGGATGTTTAAGAGTGTTAACCTAATATAATAGTTTTCTGCATCTATGTATTTCTACATATTCTGATCTGTACGTTAATTTTTCAGCTATTATCCAGTTAGAACTTCACAGCAGGCTACAGATTTCCTGTTACAAATGTTAGTGGTTCAGCGACCAGCATCATCTTTACCCATAATTTTGTTTGATCCAAATGATATTTGTTCCATTTACCTATTCCATTTTGCTTTTCGGCAGAGATGCCTGAATTGATTGTGTGATATTTGTTCACTTAATGAAGAATCCTTCTTCAGCAATGGTTTCTCCTTTTTTGGTTTTCATTTCTATTTTCCTGTGCTTGTTCTTTATATATGGATTGCTTTCTTTTCATGGATCTTAATATGAAAATGACAATTTAAAAGTACCTTTTCCAAGTTCCAACCCTGTTACCATTTGTAGGAAGTGTGATTTTTTAAAAGCATCTCCAGATATACATGCGTGCAAGTTTGAGATGTCTATTGAAAACTTTCAAGTTCCTTGTATAATTTTGTTCCCTCATCCTAACCATTTAGAAGGGGACATTCTACAATACTTTCTCCTGGATGGATTTGCTGTTTGTCAATCATTCGTGAACTTGATATAGGCTAATTCTTGGCACTTGAAGATTCAATTCCCTCTCATCCATTTCCACAAGCTATGCACTGCATTTGTACCCTAAAATACTCTTGGCTTGGGATTTATGTTTTTGGTGATTTGATGCTACCAGGGATATATACAAGTATGTAGGTAGAGAAAAATCTGGACTTGACATGCTTGAGATTAGTATCTTGCTCAATTATCTTACTGCAAGGCAGGAACAGTCAAGAAGTTAATATTGTGTTGGCAGGAATGTCGTCTAGAAATAACGCAGCTGTAATTCCAGCTGGACCAAGGGATGGTAGATTCATTGCAGTTCAGGACCCTGTGAATCTCTCTGCCGTTGCAAAAAATTCGGTGCATTCTGAACCTCCCAAGTAGGTGATTTCTGACTTTGCATTTACTTTCTCTCAAGTAGTTGACGAATCTACGTAGCTCGAAACTCCTTATGATGTGATGAAGTGAATTTGAGCTTTCATTTTTATGCTGGTTTGCAGTATAGAGGAACATGCTTCTGGTTTAGATACTGGGAATTCTGGGAAGAGAGCTATTGGTGAACGAAAGCTGGCTGAGAGGTAGAGTGTGTTTGATGCAAGTACATGAACGAATAATGGACATCGCACAAAGGGTATTGTAAATACCAGAAACCTCAAACATCATCATCTGTGTTAAGGCTACTCTAACCTTTAAAATGGTTTTCATGGGCTTACTTTTCTGAAATCTTGTTAAACTACGAAAAGCATCCGGTCGAAAGCCATGTATGAGCAGCATATACGTGATAAATGGCAGGACTATGGCGTCAGTGAGAGTAAATAAGTTGCATATTTTTTTTGCAGAATTTGGTGTTAATGACTCTAGTAGCGCATCATGCCTGCTTATGTAGCGGGCATCCTTGAACGTAAATGAAAAGAATAAGACCCCTCCTTCCTGTTGCTTCAAATCTGGATGGTATCTCAACTTGCGTGCATGCATTCTCAATTCTGTGCTTGTGATGCTTTAATAATTCTTGGTTTTGGCTGATGATATGATAAATGGGGACTGACTTTTCATTTGCATGCCTTGCGTGAGCTTAATGTAATGTAGGCGCAGCTGACAATCTTTGATTTGTTGATTCGCATATGGATTTTTTTTTTTTTTTTGTTTCCTGGTGGGCGTTCCACTAAAGCCTTCTTTAAACAGTTTTGCAATATGAGTCTGTTTTTTTGTTTTTTTTTTGGGGGGTTTTAAATACATGTCCGGGATTGGGGAACAATAGTTGACGATGTTGTAAAAGCCAACAAGTCTTCCAATTGTCACACTCACATCCTTGTGCATTTTAAGGTCTCAATATTGTCACCGTCTCTGCCTATAACCATCCATCAAGATTCAAGAATGGCCACATTGCGTTGTTGTGCGAGCGTTCACGGGACAGGAGAATGTTTCAAAACGTTTGGATGGTGAGCTTTTTAAACATTTGTATAAAACTTTATTACAATTCGCTATAAAAGTTGTATGAAAATTTTTGTGAAGACATTAAAAAATTTTATTATTTTGCTTTTTCTTTCCTCTCTTTTACTTCCTCCTCTCGTCACTACCATTATACCAAACACCGCCAACCAACCGGCACCTTCTTTTCTTTTCTTTTCTTTTTTTTTTTTTCCCTCTCTCATCGCACACTCTCTCCTCCCCTTCTTTCTCCTGCTCCTCTCCTCTCCCTCACCTTCCTCCCTCTCACTCACCCACCCCCTTCCCCCTCCCGCTCCCCCTTTTCCCTTGATTGCGCCGATCAAGGGGGGAGGGGAAGGAGGAGAGGGACAGAGAGGAGGTAGAGGGAAAGTGGGGAAAGAGGAGCAGGAGGGGGAGGAGAGAGGAGAGAGGGAGAGAGGATAGGAAAAGTGGGAGAGCGAAAGGGAGAAAAGAAAAGAAAAGAAAAAAAGATAAGAGGAGCCGCCGCCAACTACCGATGGTGGTGGGGGTTGAGATGGGGTGGGAAGAAGAAGAAATGAGAGAAAGAAGGAAATTTATATTTTGGAAATTTTGAGATGTGTAAAATTTGAGTGAATTTTTTGAAATTTCTGTAACCTCTACAGTTTTTTAAAAACTTTACAAGGAAAACTCGCCAAAAAAAAGTGAGGTGCCAAACAGGACAAATTCTTGAAACAAATTTAAGCCTCGAGTTCGGTATATATATTCTGGAAGAAAATGGAGGAGTCTCAGGCACCAATAGCTACAGTATATTTGTAAATTACATATTACAATCTCAGGCAAGGCAGGGCAGAGAATCAGAGGACAGGCAAATCTATGACGATGACCAAAACAACAACTTTTTTTGTGCTATCAACTATGTTACAGTAACGCGGTAACTTCCCGTTTCAATGTCACCTAGGCAGCAGAACTTTGAATATGTATGTCGTAAAACTGAGGGATTAAATATCAAGAACAAACAACAGAGACGGACCTCACAGCAGCATCCTGATTATTGATTTAGCTACAATGGAAAGATCGTAGACTTGTTTGTTCAGGTCAGTGAGCGGTGAGTTGGACTGCTTGAAACTATTCTCGCATCCTCGAACTTCTACAGCAGTGTCAGCCATGCCATATTCGGCGAATTTGGGAACCCCTTTCCTCAAACCTTCAATTGCTTCAGGAATATCCGCTTTTAGGATTGCATTGTATGAGATGCTGCACTTGATCAAGGGACGGATGAATTCTGGATTAGAGCCTTTAAGCCTGTTGATGGCATTCACCGCGGAGGTTGCCTTATCTTTGAGTGCGTCAACTATGATGAGGCCCAGACCATAAGTATCTGCGTCGAAGCTTCGAGGATCGGACAGTAGAGTTGAGAAGCAAAGTTGATAGTCAGGGGTGTTCCTGCAGGTATTCTCTATCAGGTCATTAACTTTCTCCCTTACCATGAAAATATGGTTGCTTTTCTTTAAGTTTAGGGGTGGCAATGCATAACTTGTGCTCAGCGATGGAAGGATTGCAAGAACTATGCAAGAAAAAGCAAAACTCCTCATTTTTTTTTTACTCTTATCTATATATATAGTGACTAAAGGGATCAAAAGATAATTGGAGATTAATAATAATGAAGGAGGAATAATTCTTTGCGTGGTTGGAAGGATTGATCGGAGATGGCACGGCCGGGAGAAAGCATTAGATGTTCATGTCTATATAGCCTGAAGCTCAGTCGTCGTAAGTGCTATAAAGCTGGCTAGAGTGGAGTCGGGGGTAAAATATATAGTATATAATAGTCCTCCCACTCGTTTGATTAGATATATTAGTGCCAAATAATCATGCTCCTTTTCTCTCTGTTAACCTAAACTCATCTGTGCTGTTGTCGATATATCTTTCACTTTGGATAAGTATTTTAAATTAAAAAAAATTAACTGCCTGAAAAATATCTTGACAAGGCAACATGATGAATTCTTTTGTTTTACGTTCAGTATTATTTTTATTATTTGCAACAGTGGCGGGAATAGAGTAAAGTAAAACCTACCAGTCAGGTGAAGTGGGCTTCATTCACTGCTGATAAGAAGATGTTGACATCTTTTCCTTTCTTTTATAATTTCTAGCATCAATTTTCTTTTAATAGTTATTGGATCTTAAGGAAACAAAAAAGAAGTATAACATGATGTTTATTTAGGAGAAATATCAATATAATAAAAAGTGGGACAAAGAGTGGTACAGAATATGAAACAGAAGATCCGTTGCGCATTATTACAGGGTGAATTATCGCAACGGATCTTCTGTCCTATACCCTCTGTCCCACTTTTTATTATATTTCTATTTCTTCTACATAAACATTATATTTTAGTTCTTTTTTGTTTCCTTAACATTCAATAACTATTAACTAAGTAATACACAAAATTTAACAAACTCAAAAAATCAAAATGCATAAAAAAAATGAGATTTTTATGAATTTTTTATTATATTTTTTAATTTTCTATTATATATTACTTTTTTGAACCTGTTGTATTTATTTTTTATTCAACTAATTGTTATTGAATGTTAAGGAAACAAAAAAGAACTAAAACATGATGTTTATGTAAGAGAAATAGTAATATAATAAAAAGTGATATACAGGGTATATGTAACAGAAGATCCGTTGCGGTGAACTATCTAGAAACACTTTTTCAAATAAAAAAAATTATCCCGAAACAAAGTGACGACAAACATAATACTACTAGTAGTACTCCACTAAACAGGTTTGTTTAGTGTCGTACATTAGTTCTATCATCTATGTACTAGTACTTGTCTTCACTCACCACCACCATCGTGGTGGCTTATCGTTTATTACTATATAATATACATTAAAGTATGATTACTATTATTTTTTTGACTATCCCCAGCCAAATGGGCAAGTTGTCGTTTAAACTTTCTCCCACTAGGGGATCAATAAAAAAATCCTCTCGAAAGATACCTCCTCAATTTTCCAATTGCCGGTATGAACTGCAAAGTAAGACCTGCATGACATGATATAGTAGTAGATAAGTTATCATTTCATGATTCATCAATCACCCCAAATAAAATCTTAGAAAATGAACCAATCACCATTAACTTAGAAAAGATGAGCCTTCATCATTCATCAGATGAATCAATAATAAGATTTTTGTTGTGTACAGGTCACATCTCACCTCCGACTTTCTTTACTTTTTATTAGTTAGATTTGTGATTGGATAATGCATTTGGGCCCAAAACCCACTACTACTGCCGGCGCTGGTTTCCATCTTTTCCCTATAGCCCACAGAAATGATGCTATCGGTCTTTGATCTCTCCCCGCCCCACATGTCTCTAGCTTGTTTTCCTCCTTTTTGGAGTCTTGAGATAATTGCCCCGTCATATTTTCGATTTTCAGGTAATGCATTTTGCAATCACCTTTTTTTTTTTTTTCTGGGTTTGAAATAGAGCATGTTGTAACCTTTTTTCATGTGAAATATTAAATTGTACAGGACAATATAAACCAAGTAGTTTTACTGGCAAAGTCTATAAATTGGATCTGTTTCTTTGTAGGAAACTGTCTTGAGAGAAGTAGAAAAGTTTTAATTGTAGGAGAATTTAAACCTACATATATATATATATATATATATATATATATATATATATATATATATATATATATATATATATATATATATATATATAAAGAAGAAGAATGGAGGAAGTGGAGAAGAGTTTAGAAGAATTCAAATATGTTTGAACTAAACTTAGGTTGCGTTTGATGAAATTGAAATTTGAATATATTAAATTACAAAATTGTTAAATACTAATTTGATACATTTGAATGTATATCACATTAAGTGGCGATGAGTGAATAATTTATCACTTATTTTTTAGAGCAAGTTTTGTCTAAGAAATTCAATGCCACTTAATTAATTCAAATATTTTATTTTTTTTTTCTCAAAAACATGTTAAGATACATATTCAAATTTGAATCCATTAAATTTAAGTGATGAATTAAGTTATCAAACAAAGCCTTACCGTGACAATTCTCTTTTGTTAAAAAAAAAAAAAAAATTTCTGCAAAAAGGACTTGTAATGACAATCGATGAGCTTGTCTTACAACAGAAACCTCGAAAACACAAAAAAGGGTAACGTGAGATAAGGCGATGAGAACAAAGTCATTCATGGAAGATATTAAACAAATCAGCACTAACTGTTATGGATAAACTGCAATTCATCTCTGCTTTAGCCTTTAGCTATATCTGTGGTAAAGCTTTGAGTGCTGACGAAAGGATAAATTTATCAATGAATCTCTCTTTTTGCTAATAGTGGAGGCAGAATTGTTGCCGTAACAATAATTGCAATGGGCTATGACTATATATGTATCGCACGCAACAAACAACATGTTTTTGCATCGGACCTTTGTCATTCTTCTTCTTGCTGTGCCCTTTATCATCTTCTTGTCTTGGTTATGTCACAATAAATTCCATCAAACATGAGGGCGACTCATGCAATTTCCTCCAAAACTCTTCCTTGCGCCATTCTCGTGCTTGCCATTTTCGTGCCCCTGAGCTCATGTGATCTGATCCACAGCACATGCAGAAAGACCCCAAATTTCCAACTCTGTGCTTCCATTCTAAGATCAAATCCTAAAAGCGGCAGCGCTGATGTTAGGGGCCTTGGCCTCATAATGGTTGGTTCGCTCGAGTCTAAGGCAACTTCTGCTTTGCACACAATTAAGCAGCTTCTCAGGACCAAACCACACTTGAAAATCCCTTTGATTGAGTGCAGCAAAAAGTATAGTTTTATTCTAAAATATGACGTTACTGAAGCTTATGAGGCTTTGAGGTTGGGAGATCCTAAATTCGGGGAAGAGAGCATGAATGATTCTGCTATGGTAGCTCAAGAATGTGAAGATGGTTTCAAACGATTCCCCTGCCCAATTACGAGTGTTAATAAAGATGCTCATGATATTTCTGCTGTGGCTGCAGCCATAATCAGGTTGTTACTCTAGAATCTAGACATATGGTACTGAGAAATTAATGTTTTGCTGTAAAATTTCTGAATGCTGTCTAAATAATCGACGTAGAACTTCATGCCTAAGATGGTCACGAGTGGTGTATATATATATACATATATACTATATCTAGAGTAACAACAACCTAAATGGGTACTTGGAAACTAATTTCTTTTTTTTTCTGTAAAATTTTTGAAAGCTGCCCAGATTATCAAGTATATTTTGTAAAACTTCATGCCTAAGATTGAAAAGATGATATAATTACGGACGACCAAGACTCGGTTTCTTGTCGTAATATTACAAAAATGATTAGTTTGCCTTTGCAGTTCTTAATGTCGATGGAACGAGTGGTTGCTCCGACTTGCGATTGAATTTTCTTTTTCTGTGACAAGGCACTTGTGATTAAATCCACGGGATTTTCATTTTTGGTGCAAATATTAAGGATTCAGAAGAGGTAGAAAATGTAGCATATTTTGTTTCTTGAAGGCCTGTAACTTGTCATCGGCTAATAAGACTTCGAAATTTCCAATGAGCCAAAATGGAGAAATTTTGGTTTGATGCATCGATGTCGAGATCAACATGCCCTCCATCCCCTCTTCCAATGAGCCAAATGGAAACCAACAGCCCAGAGGCTGCTGGCAACCACCAAGTCTTTAAGGTTTGGTGGAGCGAGAAGTTAAGCGTTCAAATTTTGTCTCTCACTAATTGTCACAATATGTGTCCTCCTTAAAAAATTCAGACATATACGATTTGATTCGAAGGCGATTTAATCTCCATCGATTCTTCATAGAGCCAAATGGAGATTGACATGGCATCTCTAAACGGGGCATTACATTACAGCTTAGAAATCAAGTTTGGCAATAAGGGAAAGCAAAGCATATATGGGAAAAAAGAACAATTTAGGAAACAAACAGCAGAGCATTAATTTTCTCTTATGGACCTCAAGGCAAGATTGCGAGAACTAAAACCAACTTTGCCTTTGGCTTATATAAGATGAAGCATATTTGCCTTTAGTCCATGCCTAATTTTCTTTCTCCTGCTATCACCATCTTGTCTTGCTTAAAATCCACAATCACATTATTGATTCACTACCAAAGATGAGGGTTTTGGTCTCTCCGAAATTTTTCCCATACAACATCGTTGTTCTTGCCATTCTCGTACCATTCAGTTCATGCGATCTCATCGATGACACCTGCAAAAAGACCCCAAATTACCAATTTTGACATATGCAAGTAATAATATAAAATATGCGAAAAAAAATCTAATTGAAATTCAATTTAAGATGCCAGTAACAACTAATAACAAGATCAAGAAGAGCACTTCGTATCTTTTTTTTTTTTTAAGAATTTTATAAATAAATGAAAAGAATTCCTTCATTCTCCTTCGCCGAAAGAACTACATTAAATACTCATGACATAACTACTGCTTCCTTTATGTTACTCTATTTTAGCTGGCCATACTAAACAGTACTCTATGCCTTGTTTTTGTTTCCTTAATAATAGGTACGCAGGGTAGCCCCGGGGTTTGGTATGGTGACATGGGATTGCTGAAGAAGGGAATTGATCCCTGATTCGAGTCTCGCTGCACGCAAGTTGCGAGGGCAGGGGAATTAATTTGCAGGATCCACTCTTTCCGGGACACCCTGAAAGAAAAAAAAAAAAAAAAAAAAAAGGCAGGGTAATTTTGCTTCAATTTCCTCCTTTTCTTTTCAGGCGGCATTACTTACAACAAATCCAACAACTGGCATTAATGCGTCATCAGTTCCAAAGAAAATTACCTCAACCTTTTATAACAACATCATAGATTTCCACATCATTAGCCTATATAATCTAGCTGGCAACTGACGTCCACATTTCGATAGGTATGTATGACAAAGTGTCAGTTTTTCTAATACTCCATACAAATAAATTTAGCACTTTGATCATCAACCTATCTCCATGGGTCCTTCAAATAAAATTTAAAAAAAAAAAAAAAAACTATCTCCAAGGGGAAAAGTCTTAAATTCAATCCCGGGAGGCAAATTAAGTCAGTCTGCTTAGAGAAAATTAATGCTCTGCTGTTTGTTTCCTACATTGTTCTTTTTTTCCATATATGCTTTGCTATCCCTTATTGCCAAACTTCATTTCTAAGCTGTAATGTAATGCCCCGTTTAGAAATGCCATGTCAATTTCCATTTGGTCTTTTTTTTTTTTTTCATCTTCACGTTATCTATATTACCCTATTTTATCTTAATCTAAGTAAGAGGTCCAACTGAGCCTATGAAACCGATCGTCAACCTATCTCCAAGACTTAAATTCAATCCCGGGAGGCAAATTATACAGCAATCCATCCGGTAGATGAAAATCAAGAAAACCCAGTAATATTTGGGCGCTGATAAATACTAAAAAAGATTTTACTACTAATTAAATATTCAAAGCATTAAACGATTTTACTACTAATTAAAGCAAAAAAGGGATTTACTACTAATTGTGACAGCAGGCATAGGAGGTACCCGGAGAGACAAACCAATGGTAAATGATACAATTGCGGCAGGGGATATTAATGATCTGATGAAGATCATTTACATTGACTTTCTGAACAATATATTATCTTACATTACTTCTTTTTATTTTTCTTTTTTGAAATGATGGAAGATGAATCCGGCCTACATCAGCATTTCATCGGTTGAGTTGTGAACACCTATTTTTCTTACGGTATTCATCACCAGATTTTTCTCCATGATGTATGAACTCTTCTCTGACTTCTTCAATCGTCACAGCAAGCTGGTGGTTTTGATCAAAGTTTGATTGAGATATTGATTTTCTAAGAGAAGTGTCATCATCATGATCCCTGTTCAAAATAAGATGCATAGACTAAGCACTGTACCATGCTTTGGACAATATACTCATCTGTGCTGCTGCTTCTTTAGTGAAGAAAGACAGAAGTTGTTGAATGATGGATTCTGGTTGTTGCCTTTCTTCTTTTTTTTCTCTGTGCAAGCCATGAGTTTTCATGTCTTGTGACCTTTTTGGGGCATAACGATGAAGATGGTGAAAGAGAAACTGAGTTGTTTTATAGGATTCCATGATCGAGGATAAAATATCTTCTGCAGCACCTACACTACTACATTAGACTTTGTCAGCAAGGTTCGTGTATTTTCCATGGAGAGAGAGAGAGAGAGAGAGAAGGTAAATTAGAGGAAATCTTGAGCCTTGATGTCCAGTTCTTAGACGTCAATCATCATTTTTTTATTCATTGAATCCAACCATGTTCTAATTAACAGTATAGAGTCTATGTAACATTATCCTGATTATGGACAGAGCCACAACAGACAGGTCATAAACGGCAGCGTTCACGTCAGCCAGTGGTGACTGCTCTAGTTTGTTCAAACTTGCTTCACACCCCTGAGCTTCTATAACAGCATCAGCCATCCCATGTTCAGCAAGTCTTGGGTTTTCTCTCATTGATCCCACAGCTTTTGGAACGTCAATTCTGAGGATTACATAGTAGTTTTCTTGGCATTCCATTAGCGCATTTGCCAGTGTTAGATTAGACCTTTTTAGCTCCTTGATGCTTTGCAACGTTGAGTTTGCCTTGTCTCTAACTGCCTCAACCGTGACCAGGGCCAGACCGGCAACATCTGCATCAAGACTCCGATTGTCTTTCCTCAGAATTTTAACACAAAGGCGATCATTTGGGGTTTGGTCACATGTTTCAGAGATGAGATCACAAGAGATTAGTGGCGGAACAATGGTTAGAACAGCTAGCGCATAAGGAAAAAGAAGCATGAAAGAAGTCAAACTTCTCATCCTGTTTATGAGAGAAAATTGTAGTTGGAAGACTGGAAGAGAATACTGTGCCAGGAAGATTGAGGCGTTTGATCTTATATACTGCAGTTGGTGGTTTTGACATTAATGGAGTTTGAAAAAGAAGGTAAGCAGTTCTTAGATGTTTTCTTGTCCTTTCTTCCCTTGCATATCTTCTTAGTTATTTTGATTCTTAGTTCAAAGTTGGGAAGATCTTGTTGAGAATTGAAGTACTAGTAGTGTTTTGAACTCGAGATCTTCTTGTCCTATAGCCATGCAAACGGTTCAGCTTAGCAGAAGACTGGTCAAAAGACGAATCTCTATATAGTATTTAATGTCGGTTTGCAGTCTTAGGTGGTCCGCAACATTTTAGCACAATTGTCTGTCATCTATAAATTTTGTTTTTCTTCACCCCCCCAACCCCCAACCCCAAAATGCTGAAGGCATCATCTATGATTGATGAACATACCAAAAGTAGAGAAACCGAGAGAATCAACCAATTAATCAAGATTGCTGGGTAAAGAAGGCAAAATGGGCAAAAAAGCAATCCGGCAGTAAGTATTATATATTACTGTGATAACTCGGGTCGAATAGATGTCACTTTGTTCCTAGATCGCATCGCAATTACAGGATCTTTTTCAGACATTGATCAACAACAAAATTGTGTTAAATTTTCTTAATTGCAGCTTCCGAAAGTAAACGCACTAGTAAAAAGGCACAATGGACAAATCCTCGCAAGTCCACACGTCCCAAAGAGAGCAAGACCACCGAGGAGAAGAAGGAAATGAATGCTCTAAGCTCAATAATGTCCTGAAAATTTGATGGCCTGCAATTTGGTTTTTTTTTTTTTTTTTTTTTTGTTTAACTTCCAGCAGAAAAATTGAGCAGAAACAAAACATTTTATGTTGACGAGAGTATCCCTGTGGCTAATACAAATTCAAGTAAACTCCTAGGCCCTAGGTTATGTACAGTATTTCCTATGCTGTGTGAGCTTAAAAAACACGTAGAACGCCTGTACACACTTCGAACTAATATCTTGAGACAATGAATATTCATTCTTACAGCCTAAACCCCAGCACTGGGGAATTCTGCACTTCCATTGGTCGCCATCAATCCAGCAAACTCCTGAGGTAGTGAGTTTGTGCGAACTGGGATCTTTCGCTGGCTGTTATCTAAAATCCTCCAGCGAGCCCTCACTCCCTTACTTCCAGTATTGCACGTAACGCTTTTAGGTAGTTGAGATGCTTTGACAACTGACAACTTCATCCTTCCGGGAGGAACCCGATAACCATTGCTCATATTCTTCATAAAATCTTCATCGACAAAGTCTATGTCTATTATATCCCTCCTGCTGGGCTGCAAACCCCAATAAAAGACAACATTTGGGGCACCCAGATCAACATCAACATATTCTAAAGGGCTGGGATCGCAAAAGCCCTGTAATTCTTCCAGCTGTACAAGAAATGCAGCGTGTCAAATGAACAACCAACACACAATGAGAAGGCCTTGAAACAGGTAACAGGGGAGAAGCCATGATGATTATGTGGACATGTTAGTGATACAAAATAGAAAACAAGCTAAGTAGCCCCTGCTGAAAACAGAAGCACGGAGATAAAAAGGACGAACCAGAACTCTACTGCACGATGAGATTGTTTATATCAATTGTTTATATCCTAGGAGATCTTTTACAATTATTAAGAAAGGAAAGCACAAAGCTTTATTTTTCCTTACCCAACACCTGATGAATCAGTGTGCTTATTAAACTCAGACAAGATTCTTAGGCAGCAGCGAACTCCATAAATATCATGAGAAATAAAGAACTACAGATGCCTATTCAAAAGCACTGCAAACATCTCAAGAAGGTCATAAAAATTTATTTCTTTACTAGGAATTATAAATGAAATATCAGAGATACAGCTTAGACTGTAAAAATCAACAGTTAGGGGATACAAAATTCAACGTGAGTTTAAATGCCAGTTGACTGTGTCTTCACCTATAGATAAACTGGCCAAACTGAATCCCTCAGACCATTTGCTTAGAGCAAATATTGGCAAATAATTGGCATGATTTCCTAGGTGCTTTCCAAGGAAGGCTGACAGACACATTAATCACCAAGCAGCTGAATGAATCAAAACGTAATAAGAGAATATCTCTAGTCTGTAGCACTCGATAAGCTTAGATATCTACTAGATACATAATATTGTGATTAGCAACATATAGGATAAACTTGTGTTCAACTTTACTATATAAATATAGACAAAACGCCAATAAGCAGTCAACCACCAACCTTGACAAGAAGTGAGCGGAAGCGCGATTTGACCCAACCCACCCATCCTCGTAACTCATCTTGATTAGAAGCTGAGAGGCAAATTTTGACAAACTGAGCATATTTCTTTGCATATGGAAAAGGATCAAATAGGATACTCCAACTGAAATCGGGCCTTAGAATATCCTGCAGTATGAGAATTGACAGGAAAAGGGAATAAATAACCACGTTAAGGTTCAGCATGCACCACTCAGTATATATCAGTTAGAGGCAGACTACTGTTGCATAGATGATGATTGCACAAAGGAGTCAAAAATGATAGAAACAGGTTACATCCAATTCTGATTCAGATGGCTCACTATACCACCTAGTAGTTATCAATTAGAGAGAAGACAACAAATGTATATGATAAGAGCAGGAATGATTGAAACATGACAGAGCAGGAAGGATTGAAGCATGGCAGAAACAGGTTACATCCAATTCTCAGTTCAGATGACTCACTATACCTTAGTCAAGGCATGTCCGCGAAGGAACTCGGTTCTAATCCGGAAGAACGTGCTTCGTGTGATGTTAGAATGGCAATATTCATTTGGGCTACATGGTAATTGGATAGGCATCAAAAACCGGGAGTCACTGGAAATAGTCGGTGCCATCATGCGGCCATGCAGAAAAACGGGTCTTGGCCAAGGCCAAAAGGCAAACGTCTTAAAAAAAATTGAGATCAGAAGACTCAGACTGGCATTTGGATGCCTTTGACAAACAAATGCTGCAAGGACTGCAAAATGAACACCTCCAAAAAATCCATGTAACTGCAAAGCATGCAATGAACCGGATTAATGTCATTTTCCAATTAGGTGGGATGCCGAGACAAGATATACTAGACAAAAACTGCAAAGCCAGCATATAAAAAAGACAACCCTTACATTTCCATACACTCCTCGTCTTTTTGCCCATAATTTAACACAACGCAGCAACGACTGAAATAGCTGCACAAATCACTTTGATAACATCAGAGATATGAAAAGGACGCAAATAACTCGAGGCTTACAGCTATGAGTTGGCACGTGACTTGGATAAATTTGCACAAGCATTTAATGGGTTGCTCTTGTGCGCAAGTTAGAGTGCTAATTAGAGGCCAAAAGTACATATTTACCTCGACGTTTGGCGCGAGCTGAAGAATACTTTTATTGGCACGTACACCAGACAAACTTCTCCAACTTGTGTCATCAATGTTCCTCAAAAAAAATGGATTAAGTAGATCCACATTCTACACATCATTATTTCACAAGTAAAAATCTTCATAAGTAGACATGTTATGACATGTTAAACCCAGAACTTTCAGAATAAGGCTCAACAAAGAAAAGCTGTCAGTAGAAACAAGAAAAATCTAGCTGAGAGGTGAAACTAGATATTAGTTGTCATGAAGGTCTACTTGAATACTAATCCTACAAGATGTCATCACTAACACTCAAATAGTTACCATGGAGTGGATATAAAGGCCACAGCACACACCTCAGGAACAGAGATTACTTTAAGTTGTGCAAAAGGCAAATCAATTGAAAGCCCATCAAACTTAAACTTCATTAGAGGAACCTTTGCATCCTTTATACAGTGTATCTCAGTCACTTCAGGTCTGCTTGCAAGCATATTGTGAAGAAGTACGAAAAAGTCCTCCTAGTCATAAGAAGAGGATGTTTGAAACATTCCCACTGATTATAAGTTGAAACAAAATGCTAAGAAGTAACACTTACTGCCATTGTTGCAAAATATGGGCCTACACATAAAGCATCTATATCTGAACCTGAATTATGGACCTGAATTCATTGAAACAAGTCAGAAGATTTAACACAACAAAAAATGTCAATTCTTTTTAGCAACAGCAGTGATGCCATTTTGAACAATTCAAATTCATGTAATTTAAATGATAAAGTTAGTAATTTTTTTCAACTGCATAGTTTTAGTATTAAGCAGTTCAAAAGACAATTTCAAGCTCGAACCCAAAAGATGAATTTGTTAGCAGTAAAATTAAATTCACAGTTATGACTTCTTCCAAAAGTTGACAATCCCAATGTCATTTTGCCAACATAGCACTGAAATTTCAATCAACAAACTGATCTTGCAATCTCATCTTTTGGGGGAAAAAAAAACTCATAATGAGGATCACAAAATTATTGGGATCACAAAAAAAAACTCATAATGAGGATCACAAAATTATTGTTGCACTAGACCTAACAAAATTAGTGGTACCCTCAGGTGAGTAATCTGACAGGCAAAAGCAAGAAGATGGCAATAGTTGCAGTGTAAGTGAAAATGAATCAAGCCTTACTCCAAGGCCATAAGATCCAAATGTCAATATTGTAGCAGAAGCAGCTCTAACTCGATTCTTGGGAAGTTGACACTGGTAAGCAACCCTTTTAACCCAGTGCATCACTATCTGCATATGAAGAATTTCAGATGCACAAGCATCAATCAGAAAAGATGCGAAAAAACTAAAATCTATTTAATCACAATATGATGACCACAGTGCAATGTCAAATTAGCACCTCCTCAAAGAAACAAAAATATTCAAATGCTGTAACAAATTAGGCACTAAGTAGAATTCATTTCAGATTTTTCATCCAGCCAGGGCAGCATTCAAACAGTTATTAACTACCAGAGGAAACTCTAAATATTTTACAATTTAGCTCCCTGAAGGAAATAGACTGCTCACAACTAATGTTAATGGATTGGTAACTCGGCAAAGCCGTTCAACCAGGAAGGCAATACAACAGGTTCATGCTAGACCAGAGAAAAAAGAAGAAGAAGAAAGGACTCCAATCCTATCTGAAACCCAAGATAGGTGGGGGTTATCATTGTTAACCGAATGTCTAGTCCATCCCACCTTGTAATGCTATTATAAAGCTCAATAAACTGATCAACAATCACAAACTAATAAATGCAGGAAAGTCTGTACTCTTACAGTCTGCTAGGAAGTTCCTTCTCATCTTCTCTCCTGATCTCTCTCTCTCTCTCTCATATTTTTGCCTTGGAAAATGATGGCTGGTACAAGCCTTGCAATGCAGTTCTGTAATGTCATTTCCTATCCCCAACCAACCCCACCTCATAATTTTGCAATATCAAGCAATTTGACTTCAGAATCAAGATTAACAAATTTACGAAAACTACGGAAACGATGAGACATGCAACACGTGTTTATGGGATTCACCGAAAGAGGTGCTTCTCTTTTACTGCAATTTAGAACGAAAATGAACCTGTTTAAGCTTGGCAATGACATTTCTTCTCTTGATTTCTTCCTCAGGAGACGGCACCAGACCCTCATCAGCCATGAACTACATAAATAAAATTCAAGCCCACAATTAAAAAGAAAGCAACAAAGAAAAAGGTCGATGTTTATGATATCAATTTTTTCTTTGCATTTGGCAAATTACCTGAAGCAGGGAAATTGACCTCTGGACCTCCATTTTCATTAAGACATCAGGGTCAAATCCCAACTCAAGGAAGCCAACTAAAAGCGGATTAACTGGACTAAATCCAGGCCAAAATGGAGGCCGACGAGGATTTATATGCAGCCCTGAATTGCAGGTTAAAGGAGGATTCACGCGGCGAAAATGAATGGCTTCTTGATTGGGAACCCAAAAAACTGCTCCTTCTGTATCACTATAATAATTGGTCTCAAATTCCATACACAAGTAGCCAATTGATTCAACAATATGAAGAAAACACAGAAAATATTTCACGGGTTTATTTTCTTCCAGATATTCAAGAAAGATAAAGGGTTATGAGAGAAATGCAGCAGGAGAGAGAAGAGAAAATTGGGTTCTTGGTTTTTTTAACCAAACAAAAAATAAAAATCCGGCCGGGGGGGTTTTCAGGTTTTTTCTTGCATTTCCGCTACATTCAGGAATTAATTGTACGGCTCTTGTTTTTCAAATCGTAACGATAGACTATAGGGAGGGAGCGGGGGTAAAAGGGTCTTTTAGTATTTTTGAATGACACCTGTCGAGACGTCTGGCGTTTAGCTGTTCCACGCGTTGCTTGCTTCCAACGGTCGACAATGGACTAGTACTGGGCCTAATGGGCCTCACTCATGAAATTTCTAGACGAGTCCACTATGAATTGGACTGCAATTTGGTTGTTGGGTTCCAAGTATGAATGAATCATCATCTTCATCATTTGTCCTTCATCATTATTTGCCCGCAATGGCAAATAAGAAGAGATTTAGGAGCTTCTGCTCCTTTCGCCGCCAAAGTTTTGGAGAGGATAACACTCTTTGCATTTGCAAGGATGATGAACTGATTAATGGAAAACGGTAAACAATAATAAACGGTGGTCTCCCCCGGAACATTCAAGATTCATTCTGTTAAATTACAATAATGGCATCAAGATTAAAAAGTTAGCATGACCTTTTCCGAAACCAAAAAAACGACTACTACATTTGACATGATGCTAGTCTCGTCACTAATGATGCCGTAGGATTCACGAGCAATCAACAAATTAATTGTTGATTCTTCCGCTGAGTTGAATAGATGAGAAGGCCATCATTGATCTTCTAATGATTGAAAATTGCTCCAGAGACTAGTATAATATACCAAGCTTGTCAACCAGAGCAACTCGAAGGGTGAAAAGGCTGTTTTTTTCTGGCCTAGAAAAATCATCTTGTTACTTGGGCACATTGCAGTTTCTTCCAGTTCGTCCCTCTGATCCCAGTACTCTAACTTGTAAGGTTTTCCTCTTCTTTTTTTTTTTGAGAAAAAATTATTTATTGGGTTCATACATACCCTTGATCCTAGCAGTACTCGAATGATTATTGAATAAGGCAGATGGATACTAGCTAGTCCTATAAAACGAACAAAAAGCAGATACTCCACCAGTCTAGTTTAGAACGGTAGACCCCAGAAACAAAACATTTCGTTTTCTTAGTTTTCAGGTCGATTGAGAATGAGAAGGAAAAGTTTAACATGGCCACTCGTCTTCTTTTCTGTTTTGGTTGTCTGATGATTGATGCACCAAACCTGATCTGAAGGAAAGATTAGGATCCAAGCAAGAAAGAAACCAATCACAAGAGAGAGGAAACCAATTATGATGAGCTGATACAAAATAGTAATCAAAATGCAAAATACTCCTGTAAAATGAATTCAACCTATGAAACGACATCAAGAAGTTGGTACAAATTTGAAAAAGAAAAAGAATTGAACGTACCCCATGGCTTCCTTCCTGAAGAACTCCTGGAAGCATCAGGCTAGCAAGCACTAAAGAGTAATCAACTGAGCACCAGAGGTGTGTCGTGTACAATAAATGATCTAATAATTTAAAATAGCTAGCTATTATTATTATTATTCTACTCTTTAAAAAGTTATTACCATACAAAATCTCAAGAAATAAAACAATCACAAAGTACAACCGCAGAAGATGAAGAAATAGCAGAGCATGGTGACCAGAGCTACGGACTCCAGCACCGTGATTACGGTCCACATGGCGTTATCAACTATGGAAAAATCCAGCCAGCGGAAGGTAGAGGCGGACCAACCGGTGGTGAAGTGGGAGAAATCAATTCCGGCAGCCCATCTGAAGATGGAAGCGGGTACGGAGAAATCGAATTCCGGCCACCTGATGGAACTCAGGGCCGATGACCAGTAAGACCTAGCCGGACACATGCGCGGCCCCTTTCAATCTTGCTTGCTTTCTGCCTGCCTGGCTAAATTGCAACTCACTAACACTAACAAATGATCCAAAATTCAGTCACTCGTAATTAAGTGCTTTATGCAAGTAAATTAATTAGTAATTTATACGATCATACTAGTAGCAGTAGTTTTCTTTTTGGGTTTAATCGGGGTGATGTAAATGGAATTTTCTGGAGAAATTAATTTGGTACGCATGATTTTGTTGAACCGACGTAGACATAATAATAACTAAATAGAGAGCGAGGTGTGGGGGAAGGGAAATTTTGCACCTTAGGGTATGGATGAAGAATGAACGATGATTCTGTAAGGCAACACTAGAAACACGTGCTTCTTGCTTATAATACCATTAGTTATTAAATTCAGCCTCGATCTCGATCCAAAGAGGTGACAGGGTTATTGAGTCAATAATTTAACCGCAGGTTGAGCGGTTCAACCATGAGTTATACAATAAGAACATTATATAATATAATAATATATTATAAATTATAAAAATAATAAATTTTTTAAGTCAATTGTTCAATCAATGGTTCAATTGACGATTTTTTTTTATTCATTATTTGAATCATCGGATCATTGAATTTTTTGCTTGATCGACCTACTTAGCAACTCAACTCGATTCTATAACCGGTTCATAGAGTTGATTGGTTTGATTGCACGAACCGAATTGGGCTTTATAACTAAGTATGATACTACTACTACTAATTAATTAAAAAATAACTTTTTATACTCGTAGATTTAGATCATGCAATATAATATGAATTTAAATTCAAATTTCAAATCATACACATGTGACATACATCCAAAACTACTAGTACAAAAAAAATAATACTACAGTATAAGTGCATAAAAAAATTATTTCATTAATTAAATACCTACAGAGTTGTTTTTTTTTCCCCTAGCCAACCTATGAAGTTGTTGGCCTCTTGTCTTTGCCAAACTCCAAACAAATCCCAACTCATCCTATGTTCCTCGGCAATCCCCAATTTTGGTTCCATTTCTCTCATCCTTAAATATTTGTTAGGTGGAAAAAATTGATTTAGCTCTGGAGTGCACTACAAAAGTATATCTTGGTTAAGTGACTGTTCTGTGTCTTCTCAATCTTTGCGTTAGTTGAACTACAAAATGCTACTAGTTCCTATACTTGAGTTTTTTTATTTATTTATTTTTCCTGGAGACGTTGAAAACTTCTCATACATAGATTATAATTCAATAATCCTATTTCACCTAAATACTAGTAGTAATTCATACCCCTTTAAGTTAAATGCAAACATTTTTTTGATACAGTACTAGTTAACAATTTATCCAAGTTAGTATCTAGCATTCGCTATTAGTTGCTTGTCCAAGTTAATTCTACTTTGGTGTTTGCAATGTGTTTGGATAGTTCTTATTTATCAAAATGATTTTTTGTTTTTTGCATCACAACACATTTTTCAATACACATTTTTATCTTTTTAATCACATTTTTATTTTATATATATCATATTACAATAATCACTGTAGTAATTATTCTCAACAATATTTCAAATAATCTCCTATCCAAACACATATTTGATATTTCTTGCTCCTTTTGCTTTAGACACTAACTACTTTCGTTGTCATGGATTTTCTCATATATAATATATTGACCTAGCTTTTTATTATCTTATCTCAATTGTTTCGGAGCACAGTGGACAATTTTGTCTCGTCCACTGGTCAAAAGGTTACAACTCATACGTTACCTTGTAAACTACGCAATCGAATGCCTAGAATTCTCCCTAGGGACAGTTTTTTTTTTCTCTGAGGAATATGTTTGCCCCAAACGCTTATATAGCTCGATTAACAGCTCTACACTTAACTAACATTTTAACTGACATTTTTGGTTCAATTCTAAACGGTATATACTTGTAATCATTCTCATTCTGAGCCACCATCCATGAGACTCCATACCAAACGTGCCCTAATTAACTCCTTGCAAGTGAGAAATGAGGAAAAGAAAAACGTCTTTGTTAGGATTGCTATTTTTTTGAAGAAAACAATTTCTGCTTCTCTTGAATATGCTTTTTATATATACATATATTTCCTAATCACGTATTTGCCTCATATACATCACATTGTATAAAAGTGCTAAAGTAAATTTCTTATTAAAAAACTGTCTAAAAAATACTATCAAATAACCTCTAAAAGTTCCACGATTGTTTGTCCATAAAAAATTACAATTGCCTTTGGCCAATGAAAACCATACCCAAAAGAAAAGGTATTGCATGGCTCAACAAATTGTGTCCTGGATGATATTTGTGCTAAACCTAGCCACACAAACATATTAATTAGTATTGTTAGAATCTGGAAGAAAGCAAAACCTTTCGATAAGGCTCATACTTGGATAGACTCGATTTTCAAATATCCAATGATTCAAATCGTGTCATATCATCTCACTAAGTGGTATGACACAATTTGAACCATTGAATCTATAAAGATCAGGTCTACCCAAATTTTGGCCTTTTGGGTATTGTTGTACAAGACGAGGTAGAAAATGACCATTAAGCCAAGTTGTTGTTTAATATGCAGACAGCAACATTTAATCAAGAGCCCAAGTTGCGGGTTGACGGGTTAAGAAGTCACAAAATGGCCTATAGGCCCTTTTCACCATTGTTCTGTTCTTTTTTGGGCGAAGATGGTCCCATGATTTTGAAAGTTGAGGCCCAGATTGTCAAAAAACTTTTTTTTTAAAAGGTCAAAAAGAAGAATATTCCAGCAAAAAGAGTAAAATATCTCCATAGAGATGAAACAAGAATCGAAAACCCCAAAAACCCTAGATCCCTTCACGCGCAGATCACGTGATACGCTAATAACAAGGAAAATGTAATTCAGGCGCCGCAAGCACACGAGAAATTGTCTGCTCGCATCTGGACCGTTGGATGATCATCCACCTCATCAATCCGCTTGAATTCCTTATTCGACGGTCGAGATCAATCCTTCTGCACAGCTACTCTGAGCAACGAAGAAGAAGCTCCTCTATTCCTCTCTACTTTCTCTCTCCTCCGTTTCGCAACAATTTTCTCTAATTTCAATTTAAAAATTTTCTGGAAATAAGAAGTTTCCCATCGGAAAAATGACGGAAGCGGAGGAAATTCGGGAAGTTGAAGAGGTGGCAAGGGAAGAAAGGGAAGAGGAGGTGGCTGTTGAGGAAGTCGACGGAGAAGATGACGATAACGACGACGACGACGACGAAGATGAGGACGACGGCGAAGAGGAAGATGAGGATGACGTTAGAGAGGTTTTGCACGGCACAGTTGGTGCTCCACTGGTTCAGTCCGTAGACGATGATGATGACGACGAGGAGGACGGTGATAGTGACGACGATGACGAGGACGGCGATGGTGATGACGATGATGATGACGATGGTGAGGATGATGAAGATGAGGACGGCGAGGAAGCTGAAGGAGAGGAGGTATAATCATTTTTTTTTGCTTTTTATTTTTAAATAGCTTTGATATTGTTTGGTGAATTTTGCATTTGTGACTTATATGTGGTACTTTTCCATGGTTTAAAATTTTAAATCTTTTAATGACGGTCTTTGATAATTTTTTTTTGGTTTCTCGTGTAATTATCTAGTTTGAAATCTGTTTTTTGTTTTAAAAAAATTGAAGCTGAATCATAGTGATTAGTTATATGTTTGAAGAAAACGAACTTCTGGTGTAGAAATATGCCTTTTTGTGATTAATTTGTTGTGAAGTTTGATTTTTGATGTGTTGGTGAATCCCAGTGGAAAATTTTCAGATCTGATGATTTTGGTATTTTAGTCAATATTTTGACATGTTGAATTTTCCCGAATCTCCTTTAAAATCCGTTTTGAAATTTCTGGAGGAAAATGAAACTTTGTCAGCCAATAACTGTTTACAGCTTCTTTTACTTTATGTATAAATGTTAAATTTAGCTTTCTGTGCCATCAATAAATAAATGAAGCTTAATTGAATAATTTGTTCAAAATCTGCGTCTATTGTAGTTCTAAATATATTCTCTGTCAAAACAATCTGGGTTTCATTCTCTGTCAAAACAACCTGGTTTTTCTCTTATTAGTTTGTGTATCCTGTTGACCGATCTCTAGATGTATATAGGATAGTGTCAGTGACTATCTCTTCTTTATTTTCTTTGGGTGGTGGTTTTGCCGTTTTGGTGTAGGTTTTCAAATAAAATGTGCGTGTTGGTGAGAGAGAGATCATAAAATCTTTCTAAATTACCATCCTTAAACCTTTAACTTTTCATATGAGACTTTAACAAATCTTTTCTTTCTGAGCGTAAAAATCCCTGGTGCATAATCATGCATAATACAGTCCTTCCAGGCTGATTCCGTTTTCTGTGCCTGAAACTGTAGTCCATTGCTTCTGAGTTTCTCCAAACTTTATTGGAATCAGTTCTGGTGTTCCTTGTTCAATTTTGTTTGCTTTGCCAGTTAATCCTTACTTTTTCTTTTTCATGCTCTTTGCACTGGTTGTTTATTGAAATCATTCTTGCCCAATTCTGTCATTTTGGGGGAACTTTTATATGTCAATCTGTAAAATGATTGTCAATATCTTTACTGCACTTAAACTTGATAAAAATTTGATTTCTTTTTCCCTAGTGAACTAGTTTGTTTTTCATATTTTATTTTGGCCACTGTCTACATTTGAAGCCTTCAGAAACTTTCCTTTGGCTGCTTTGGTCCAGATGAGTCAACCGTTTGTCTCTGGGCCATTTTATTATCTTATTTCAGTATCATACATGGGATCCGTGTTGTGACTGGTTTGGCTACTCAAGAAGATAAATGGATGGAAATAATTGTTTAAGTGCCTTCTCTTCATACCTGGTTTCAAGGTTATATAATTGCTTGCGATAAGATTAGGATTCAATGAGGATGTGATTTGACATGCACTTGCGGGCATTGTTTGGATGTTCCAACATTGCATTGACCTAGGACACGTACATATATAATCCGCATATGGCTTTGGGAAAAATAGACTTGCAGGTTTGATTTTACCATGTGAAAATTTTGTCTCCCCATTGTTTATGGGAACTTCTTTTGTCTCTGTGCGTAGCACTTTTTTAACCATAGCTGCTTTCTCTTAGGGGGTAAACTTGCGCATGTGTGTGCACAAACACACACACACACACACACACCCACGAGAAGGATGCCAAGTGGGTATTCTCGTATGATGTTCATATTCTCGATGCTTGCATGGTACTTTGTCAGTTGAAGATCTGGACTTTTAGCATCTCTCTCTTGGGATCTCTATTTGGTGCTTCAGTTCCATTGCTCTGAAGCATATGTGAGGAATTGATGTCT